ATGGGTATGCCACCTGTGACACCTGAAGGAGTGACATATGAGTTTCTGGAATTTCACCTAACATGATAAGCTATTTTTGGATAGAAAACTGTTCCTTGAAGTTCTCTGATACTTCTAACCCATTCCCCTATAGAATCTGGCAAAGTTTGAATGCTTCAAGGCCTAGATAGCAAAATTTGCTATGGACAATTTTATATAGAATATAGAGCTGTAGTAAAGATATTGAGGTCATTAGAGTACTACAAGCATGGCTCAGCACCATATATATTCAGCTCATTTGGAAATATGAAGTACTGACTGACATAGTCAAGTATCACACAAGGATACCTAATGCTTGATCATGAGCCTATCTTTAGATCACCACTTCTCAGACTAGATGGAGTCATTTGAGAGCCTTAGAAGAATTAAGGAAAGCTGAGATCAAAGAGATCAATGAATAATTGAGAGAGATATGGTGAAATTCAGACAATTGAGTTAACAACATTAATGATTGAGTTAATGACAATATTGAGTTAATGAGTTTTATTAATATCTCTTAAACGAATGAAGATATTGATTAGCGGTTTGTACTGGGACAGTTTTCGTGACATTCCGCAACTTTTCCATTTTTGGGTCCAGAGGTGTTGGGGGGCGCGTTGGGTGCGTCGGGCGGGCGTTGGGGGAGGGCGGGATCAGTGGACAGCAATGATGACACCGCTATTGTGTTGTGATCATCAAGTTTGATCAGAAATTAATTTATTTGATGGAAAATGATGAAGAATTGGGCTCACCATCGAGGGCAACGTCGAGGACGACGTCGGCGGACTATTTGACAGTGGCGGCAGGGTGCCTGACACCGGCGGGCAAGAAGCTCCGCGGCCGACGACAGCGGGCGGCGATCGGCGACGTCAATCAGCAATCAGTAACATAAGTCACGATCGTGACGACGGCGCCGAGGCCATGGGGGCGGCGGCGGGCAGCGCGCACAGTAGGCGGGGGCGGGGAGGCAGCCGGGAGGGTGATGGCAGCCTCCGGGCCTCTTTCCCCGCTACCAAGACCCCTCTTGGTAGCCATATTTAGCGGGGGTGCCCACTACTGGCTCAACCCCCTCTAGTTAGAGGGAGAGAGTACCCCCCCTCTATCCCTCTAACTAGAGGGTATTAGGGTGCACTATAGGTGTCTCCCACTAACCATCATGAACGTCCTTTTCGCGGTCAAAAGGGGTGCGCAAACTCGCTTGTATGGCTTCCAGCTCAAGTGACTAGGCCGCAGGTTTATGGTCCATACTGACTCCAAACTCCCACCGCAAGCTCACAGTTGCTTCCCTCAAAGCGGGACTCGCAGACACCACAGACGACCTCGCCATCCTCGCGGGCGAGGCACCGACCAATATCAAGCACCGGTCCATGTACTTCCAACAGAGCTATTAGTTACCATATTCCTGGAAGCCTGCGTCAACGCGCTTCCCCGGGGGGAGTACTCGTTCTTCGAATGCAGCCAGGTTTGCGTGCGCTGGCGGCAAGTCGCGCTCGCCACCCCCGATCTCTGGTCAACCGTCAACTTCTCCTCGCCAAACTGGGTGAAAATCTGTGTCCGGCGCTCCAAATCCCGCCCGCTTTTCGTCGAATGTCATTTGGCCGACTTCGCTATCCCCCGGAGACAACCAAGAGTCCTCCAACGCGTCAGCGCCGTTTTGGAGGTTGCCAGGGACCGCATAAAGGAGATAGTACTCTCCAGCCACCGTTCAGACAAGCGGCTGTTGGGCTTGGTCCGGGGCCACTTTCCGATCCTCACAAAGATGTCGATCACCGGCGCCTGGCGCCGATTCCCACGTCCTTCGTCAAGTAGTAGGAGACGGGAACTGTTGTACCCCAATCTGCACTCACTAGAAATTGACGGACCTATGCTGCTGCTTTGCCACACCGGTTCCACGCTGCGCAATTTGACACTCGTTTCCTACCTTAATTCCGCCCTTCTCGACGCTCTATCACTGGCAGGACTCAATCATCTTGAAAACCTCGCCCTATATCTTTTCTACCTAGAGGACCCTGGCTTCGTCCTACCAGAACATCCCTCGCCTCTTCTTAATCTCCGCACTATCAGAATCATTGCCAGCCCTGGCCTCGATCACTTCTGTGCTCAATTTCTCTGCTCGTTCTCCCTCCCCAAGCTCATCCACTGCGCTGTTCAGTATTGGGTGACCCTGCCGATTTCAGCTCAGAGTGACTTCGATATCATACTCGCAACACACTTCCCTGATGACACCCCAAGTGGCCTTGGATTCCGTCGCACAGACTCGGACACGGAGAGCTACGCCCGAAGACATATCGATATATGTTTCTACTTTAGGTCCCCAGACGATCCGACCCGCATGCGCCAGCTCTCATTTACCTGGTGCCAAGATTCTGTGTCCCCACTCATGACGACAGCGTTTCCAAGCATCCTTCCGTTGGATACCGGCCCGAACGACACGCTCGCCCGCATATGGCGCTCCGTCGAGACGCTGTGCTTGGACCACTGGATGCTCGCTTCTGAGGAAGAAACCTTGCTTTGGAGGGAAATATTGTCCTCGTTTCCCGCACTGCAGTCCATCACGCTGAGGGGGTACACCTATGGCGAAGTCAACAGATGGAGGGAGTTTATTGCAGGGGGTGGGACTAATGCCCTTCTGTTTGTACTTACACGAAGCGGGATGGAAGAAGTCAGACCTTGGACACGTCAAATGGCCGCCTCAGACCGCAGACACAGCTGTTGACACATGCACAGCCACTCCGATGAAACGTTGACCATGTAAGCCAATGGCACTTTAGTCTTCAAGTGCTCTGTTGGAAGCGAAAATAGTATAGACCATGATGTGATTTACGATGCACGATCCTCGATAAGACTCGCGCTTGAGTAGAACAACCATAAAGTATCGACAGGAAGCAGACAAGGACCTGAATGATATTGGAGACTTCACAACTTTCAAATGGATCTTCACCATATCAACTATTTATTCTCGGATGATGACGGTTCCGACAGCCCAAACGCCCTGAACATGTCCCTCTGCTCCGCCCCAGAAAATAGCGGCCCCAGGCGCGGAATCGGCGCGAGGTAATATGGGGGACGAAGCTCCTCCGAAACTGCCAAGACAACTGGGGGCGATGATTGGTCGGCGCGATATGAGCGCTCGAGAACGACCGGAGCGGCGTCGGACCCTCGCTGCGCATCGTCAGCAGAACGTCTTCGCAAACGAGATGCGCCCCCAGACGAAGCAGAATGCGGAGATAGTAATGATGTGTCTGGAACGGAGACCCGCCGCCCATCCGCGGGCGATGGTGACAAGCTGTCGCGAGAACCGATAGCGCGGGTGGGGGGAGCGGAAGGCATGTGCTGGTTGCTGATATTCGGTCAAGGAGCGGGCTTTTATAGACGTCGGAAGCGGATGGCGGAATGTGGGGATAGTCTGAGACCGCGCAATGTAATGTTTCGGTATGTGTTTGTGACGACCTTCGTTTGTTGAGAGACGTTTTAAGCCAGACGGGAAAGCCAAACAAACGTCCGCTGGAGTGCCGCAAAGTTATTGTGCAGCAATTTGTGTGGGGTCTGAAGCGGAAAGCGCGAGAGAACCATTGGGTCGGAGAATGAGGAATATAGCACCATAGGTAGTTGCACAAAGTCGTCTGAATTTGGCATTTTATGGAAGCTTTCGAAGCCTAGCCCCACATTTACAATCGCAGTTTGCCCCAAGCATTGTAGCGCAATTGATGGGCCTGGCCTGGGAGGCTTCGGCTTTTCGGAGGTCGCCCGATGATAGCTTTCGCCACATAAAGCTGGTGCTGAAGATTTAAGGCCGGATTGAGACCACGTTTATACAGCTCCGATAGGGATATCGTTCCTTGTCCCACCACCAGACTCGAGTTTCCATCGTCGCATGGTGCACAGCCACCGGCCAAAGGCGAAGGTAAACTTGGAAAAGATGCTCCAGGAGCTCGTCCGTTTCAAAAAAGGCTTGAAATGACGAAAGCCGGATGCCTAGCACCAAGCCCCATGATGCTTGTAAGACCTAATGACGCAGAGAAGACGGAGGCCAATGTTATGCCGCACAGATCGATGGACGACGATTTGGAGGAAAGATGTAATGGGGGAATGCATTCCCGGCATTGTCGTGATTAGCATAAGATGATTTAGGGAGTTCTAGAAGAGCTACGCCGCTACTTGTGCCGTTCTATTTCCTCCAAGGACGAAGGACGCGGCATGTAATGAGTGGACAAGCGGTTGTGACCCACAGCGAGCGAGGACCATGAACAACGCGGAAGGGCTCCGATACCAGCGGTGGGGGTAGTGCAGGAGCATTGTTGGGAGAAGCTGGTGCAAATGCGGGGGGGAGTGTGGAATGTGGATTGGGAGAGAGAGAGAGCGGGGGGTGGATGTCTGTGCCTAGAGATTAGAGACTGAATCGGGGAGTCGGAGCAACGCGCATTCATAGTATCCGTCAGCACTCAGCAGGTCATAGTATTGAGGTCCGGAAGAGAGATGTCGAGGTTGCAGACTTCGTCTCGCGTTAGTTGCAAGCTGATTGACAAGCTTCAGTAGGGGAAGAAGGGAAAGGATGACGCACCTCTGGCAAAGATACAGACTGAGATTGAGCTGCTGGGAGTGTAAGGAAAGCAACAGTGTGTGAAGCTGACGTAGGCGTACCAGGTATGGCCTTGACTTTGACGACTTTCACCACATATTGCTGCGCATTGAGCGGCGTTCTGGGTATTCCTCCGCGTTTGGCTTTCTTGCTCAAGGTAGCTCGTCGCTCATTATTGTGTTTGGGAGGCTCGGCGTGTTGTTGTGCAGCGCAGTCGTCGCGCTAGTGGTGGTACGGAACGAAAGACGAAAAGCGTGACAAGCGATCGCCTCCGCTTTACTCTTAGCGCCGACTCCAGCAACCTTTTCGATATCCGTCCTATTTTGCTGCTGCTCACGCTGCGGAACGTCTCCAGAGTCAGTGGATCCGGACGGCTCAAGCTTCCTTTCACCGTTTCTCGGCCATGGAGAGCCCATTCCAAGATATTCTCAACACAAATACTGTGCCATCCGACGAGCAATGCACCCACATTCGCGTCTTCCTCGAACCTCGGTACCTCAAGCTTGCCGAGCTCAACGCTGAAATAGACAAAATCCGGGGCCTACTCTATGCCGCTACTCAGGCGCGAAACGCGCTGGAGGATTTCATTGCATCGCATACGGCACTCATTTCGCCCATGCGAAGGATTCCGGACGACGTGCTTCAACTCATCTTTCTCGCAACCCTGCCAGAACATCGCAACACGGCTTTGGACCCCAGCGAGGGACCGCTGCTGCTTGCCAGCGTCTGTCGTTATTGGCGGGCACTTGCATTGAGTACCCCACAGTTATGGTCGAAGATCCACCTCATCGTACCCAATGCTACTGAAAGCTCGGACGGCACATTGGGAGGACTTTCGAGTGCTGCAGTGTCCGAATTACAACGCTGGCTTGCTCGAGGAGGAGCTGTCCCCTTGGATATCCAGACCGAGCGATCCAATGAACGTGTCTACTTTGCGTATCCATACGACACTCCGCCACTTCCGGTTCACGTTTCAACCTCCCCATACCTAGCCGCGCTCCTCTCCGTCGCCCATCGATGGCGGAATATTCGCTTATTAAACGACCTCCCTGCTGCGGATACACAGGCACTTGTTGAGCTTACTGTCAACGATGTGCCGCAGCTGGAGCATATCGAATTCACTGACGATCCCAGTGGCATATTTGGAGAAAACGGCAGTCTACCTTTACTCGCGACACCCAGTCTTAGATCACTCACATTCCATGGTATCTCTGCAGGCATCCCTCGCGCATTTCGGATTCAGTGGCAGAATATCGTGGAGCTACATTTGGTCCTCGATCGCCCAGTTCATGAAGACACCCAATCTTTCTCTCCTCTCGCCTTCCTTTCGCAGTGGACTGCGCTGGAACGGCTATCTCTGGTCATCGGCAGCGCACCGTTTGATCCGCCAGAGGCATTCGAAAACACTGTGCTTCCACGTCTGAACGCACTAATTTTGTCGGCCACATCCCGCTGGCAAGATTTCGGCAGTCCTAACTCAGTTATCTTCGCGAATATGCGCCTTCTACGTCTTCCCCTTCTTCACACACTCGACATCACTACTGGTATCGACGATGACACGACGACAGCACTTCTAGGGGCCATGGGACATATAAAACACCTCGCGATGTCTGTTCAGGGCTGCACATCTGATGGAGTTGTGGCTCACCTGAGGATGGTGCCACTGCTTGAGCGCCTGCGGCTCGGAGGAGAACCTGCGCTCGATAACTCTATTGACTACTCCTACGAGCAACGTCGCGACGGGGCTTTCCTAACCCATCTCATTGCGGATCGGAATTCGGGCGCTCTTTGCCCATTTTTACATCACCTCGAACTCACTTCTGTGAACGCACTGCCCGACGAGCTCCTCCTGCGTTTCGTCCAGTCGCGCACGCTCCCCCTCGTGGAAGCATGCCCCGGTGTCGTGCAGCTGACTGCATGCATTGCTTATTTTAACCGAGAACAGGTGCTCGACATCCGCACCGAGCTCGCTGACGTCGTTTTGCGCCAACTTCGACTTGACTTGTCGTATCTGATTCCTGTGGGCCCGCCACAACATCTCAAATATTCTCCGCTTCAAGGCACCGAGCGCGACACAGACGCCATTTGGCGCGCCCCGCAACCCCCCGGCGGGCGGTTCAAGGCCTTCGCGCCGAGTAGATACCAGCTTGAAAATGTCTAATTCGTGAGCACTGGCAAGACATTTTTGGATGTGATTACAATCTTCCTCTGGCACGAGCGTGGGAGGTGTATCAGGGGACAGGACAAGTTTAGCACAAGTAACCTGCCTAGTCTAAGTGTAGATGGACCGGCGTCTCGATTGTTGGTTGCATTTGTCTGAAGCCGAGACGCCACTCGGATTGGAATGCTATACTTGAAACGCTCCGTCGCCGGTCGCATCACGCAACTGATCATGACTGTTCCGACAACATCGAGCGCCCATTTTTCGCGGAGGCTTACCAGCCCTTGCTGTAGATTTTAGGATACTAAATGTTTGTTCAGACAGCTGGCAGGCTGGTCGATGGGTGCATGCTGCTGTACATGTTGGGCATTCTTCTGTTCATGAATGTTGGGCGGATAGTCGCGATGATCTTCTTGGCAATCAGACATCTGTCCAATACTCATGACACCGTGTCCGCCGGGCTTCTCTTTCTCTTCTGCCCTCACCCAGGCCGCCCGCCTTTCCCTCCATCCTTCCCCTCCTTCCGCTCTTTTCTCCTCTTTGTTCCGCCTAGCGCGATGAACGTGGTCGTCGACGACCGTGACCCCGCAGTCCAATACTTTCCTAATTGGCGCACGAAAGACTTAGGCCGGGCTGTCGAGTTCGCTAGCACGACCTCCAACCCGGCCAAGCACGGGGATGCTGCCCAACTCACCTTCTCTGGTGCGTGTTATTATGTATCATGTTAATCGACTCAATTTCACTCCAGGTACCTCGATATCGGTATTTGGCACGATTGCACCAGGCAATGGCCAATCAAGCATGGACTTCAGCATAGACGACGGCCCCGCCACAACGTTTCAGCCACCACCGGTACCCTCCACGGACAAAGATGGGGTCCATCATCAGCCATTATTCGCGTCGACCGCTCTATCTGAGGGAAGCCATACGATCCGGATGACGTCCAGCGGCAGCGACATCAGCCAGATATTTCTCGACTATTTTCTCGTGCGGACGACGGAGGTGGCGGGGAAGAAGGTGTTTATCGATGATGCAGACACGAATTTGGGCGTTGTGTATGGCGGATTGAGTTCGTGGGCAGAGGCAGCTGGGGAATCCTACTTTGGCCAGGGAGTGCACGTTACGCAGACACCGGGGGCGTGGGTTGCGGTGACTTTCCAAGGTGCGCTTCCCCGTCTCTCTTCTAATCAAACCTAACCACGGCTGTAGGGACACAACTGACTCTCCAAGGCCCATTCACACCCAGTCCAGACGCCGATGACTTTTCCGCTTTCGCCAGTATCGACAACGGCTCTCCGATTTCTCTCGTCGCGCCACCCACCAGGGACGACACGACCCAGACATTCAACAACCGCCTCTTCGCCACCCCGCTGTTGCCATTCGGCACACACACTGTCAACTTCACCTACACTGGCGGCCCACCACTCGCTGTGGACTACTTCCTCGTGTCTGGCGCGCCGAACTTGAGCGCCAATGGCAATTCAGACGGCAACGGTTTTGTTGCCGGACCAGGCCCTTCTCTTTCCGTTCCCCCATCGCCCAGCCCAACTAATGGGCCCGGGAGCAGCCCACAACAACTCGGAGGTGCCTCCGCGCGCGCGGGACCCAATATGGGGGCCATCGCTGGCGGAATCATTGCTGGTGTGGTGCTCGTTGCACTACTTGTGGCCGGTATATTCCTGTTCTGTCGCAGGAGACGCGCGAGGAAGCAGACGAGCCCATCGAGTATGTGTTCTTATCTACCTTTAGCTGCTCTAACCTTCTGTCAGACAGCGACTTCTTCGTCCCGTCAGTAACGCAGTGGGCCGGCAAGAGCGACGCATACGCGTACAACCCGAACCACCGCGACTCGATGATGACGCTGACTAACGGGCCGACAGTGCCCCGGTCGATGGGGTATACTGCCGACGCAGAGAAGCAGGAGGAGCCGCCGGACCCGCGCAAGTCGCGGTATCTGTATTACCCAGAGCCCTAACTCTTGTGTCGTTTGCTTTTTTTATATTTCATCCTACCCCTTCGACAGATAGCTAGTCTTGCTATCAACTCTCCATGGAGAGCTCTCCATGGAGAGTGCTGCTTTCCCAAGGCAGCTCTGGTTGTAATAGTTTTCCACCTGTAGTTGCCTACACAATCCAACCCATGTCTCTTACAAGCACTACTATAGTGGCCTACAGGCTAAACAGGCTCAGATGCCTTGGTAACCCAACTGTAGATGTCATAGCCATACATCTATGGATGCTGGCTCAACCCACCATGAGATGAGTTAGAAGGGCAGCCCAGGGTGAGCTGTAAGAGCTGCTGAGGCTGCTCCAAGCAAGGCACCTAGGCTGTTCAGGCTCAGACATCATAGGCTGTTTCCCCAAGGCTTCTCATGAGGTTCTGAGTAATACATCCTGGTATGTTTAGACAGTCCAGCCAACGCAGGCCTAACAAAGCCGCACGCCCATGTGACAACTTGACTAAGCTACAAGCAGACACGCTCTTTTATCATGTCTTCCACCACCACCCCTAGCCTCCCAGCTGGTCAACAACCAAGAAGAGCTATATGCACTGACTCTCTTTGTCAGTCTTCTCTCCCGTCTCTGGACCCATGTTGTCTATCAAGATGAGATTCCACTCATTCTGTCTTGGAGCAAGCTGAAGGACTTTTTGATCCTGTTATTCAACACTGAAGAGGTTGTTGACCATCTGTGGCTCACAACCCGTCTTCATATCCAAAACTGGCAGGGTCCAAAGCTGGAGGAGAAGGTGGATGGCCTCTTGCAGCAATATGGGGAGGCGTTTGAGCTTGGTTTGTGTTGTTCAGGTTCAGCTCTCTATATTCACCTTCTTTCAGGAACGGAAATGCTCTATCCACCTCACCGCAACTGTGTGGGTCAACTAAATGAAAGGTGCCGGGGTTATCGACTTGCTCAACCTCAACGTTCTCCTTGTCGCATTTTCACGCTACGCCGAGGAGTTCTTGCTGCTTATGAAGTATCTCTTTATTGTACTGGTAAGTCTTTGGCCTTATACTCAACAAACAGTAAAGCATGGATTACTAGGATGCAAAACGCGATACCACTATGCTTATCATGTAAGCGATGCTGCTCAAGCTGATGCCAAACGCTACTACTACCGGGAGCCTCTATTGTACATTCAAGCTCAAGAGGCATCATTCATTGACCGTGATCTTTGCGTTCATTTTGAGAGAGCACTGGCAATTTCCCAGTAAGGCCTTTTAGCTTCATTTCACACACATCTGAACCGGTTTAGCACATCGACTTCTGATTTGGCTGAAATCTACAATGACACCCTTGGGAACCCTACCAATGTGGTCAACTCTCCTCTCCTCTCTACTATCAGCCAGTCAGCTGTTCTGGATGCTTTCTTCATGCATAGTCTGCTACGACGGGCAGAACAAGCGGGCGAAAGCTTAGTACTCCGTCATCAATGCACTCATACTCAACGCCTAGAGCTTGCCTTCATTCGCTATAACAAGGCTATAGTTCTCAACGGGCAACCAATGCGGCTCCATGCTTGTCACGACTGTCTTAAGATTATTGAGGGGCAGGACGGCAGTCAGCGTACGTGACCTGCAACTAAGTTTTAACTGCATTTGACGTTCCAACTCTAAGCCTTGTTACGGGCAGCAGTAACTGACGGCGTTACAATTGGCCATCCGTGCTGTCTCAAGTTTAACTGCCAAACACGACTCGAGTCAATCAAAGACCAGTTCTGCCCCACCCACCGAGGCTGTGATACTCAATGCCGAGTCTCTATATGCGAGATGCCTGCGGAGCCTGGCTTTATTACCTGTTCACTTCCGGCTCATCGGGAAATGGAAGAGAAGATGGTGGCCAGCAGCGAGTCAGTCTTTCGGGATCTGAATCGTCGCTTAGATAAGGGTAACGTGCCCCGAACACCAAGACGTCTCCGCTCTCATAAATCTAATGGACCCAAGTCCCAGGGCAGGCTTGAGACCCATAGGAAGTATACTCATAATGACCAGCTCTTGGTACTCCCATGTGGTATCATCACAGGTAGAGCCACATTTTTCACGTCGGAAGGTCAGGACTCAGTACGGGTATGTCTATCTATCCCGGAGATTTCCGTATCTGTGACTGATAAGGAATTAGCAATTCCTAAAGGCTATGTTTCCTGAAAAATGGATGCTTCCAACTCACTTGTTCTACGATAATGCTTGCCATCTCTTGAAGCATATCATAACTGAAAACGATCATCACTTTGACAATGTCAACTTCATTCTGGATGTCTTCCACTCCTCTGGCCATGATGACGAGTTTTGCAACAATCACTGTCTCCCCATTCTCTTCTCCGAGCTTAGAACCAAAGACACTTGGACCTTCAACTCTTCAGTCTGTGAACAAACCAATGTATGGTATGGCGCGTTTCAGTCTATAGTGCGCGAGATGCCTGAACCACGGTATAACGTTTTTCATGTACAAATACACTAACTTATATGGTCAGTTATAATTTTTTCCTTGACGAGATGGTATGGGTGTCCAACGTTCGACGATCAGCTGTGCTGGCTAAACGCGGAAAGCAGCCATTTATAATGGAGGAGAGACTATTTAAAGAAGAATGGAAACCTGTATTGAACTAGTTGAAAATTATGTGGCACCAGCCAATGCAGCTCTACTACGTAAATTATAATGATTAAGTCCATCGCGGCAGGTTTGAGCACGGTTTCGATTACGGCGGTTGTCAGAAGCATGATCTCCCTCCGAACGAGCACCAGCATTCATGGCCTGAACACTAGGCATAATCGACCCATGAGCGTCACGTCCGTCAAAGAGCCTATCACTTTGTCAGAAATTAACATAAAAGTCAAGACGTTTAAAAGATACCAGGCAGCATTGGTGACTGTATACACAGCTACCCCCCATTCAACATAAGCGAAGTTCAAGTCGTGTTTGCCGCAGTTCTCCTTGAGCAATTGGAAGCATGGATGTAGACACCCACCTTCCACATCATCGTCCCGATGAATGCAGCTAAGAAAGTTGCTGCAGTGGTAACCGGTTAACCCATACTTGCCCATATAGGCCAACTCCGCATCTTCCACCAGCTCCCGGTAATGCGCGGCAGCACCACTCCAAATGGTTCGTGCACCCTCCACCAATAGATTTAAAGTCTATGAGTGTTGTCAGCAATAAGTCAGGCAGAGTTTAGATAACTGACCAGGGCGTGTCGCATGAGAGCCAGCAGGTCCTCTGGCGTGGCACCACTGTGACATGCATACACGTTATAGATGTCGCCCTTGATCCCACCTTTTGGTTGCCGTGTACCGTAGCCCGTCATAGATCCAATGTGAGACCATCTATCCATTGCCGCACGCCTGTGAATCCCATGTACTTGAACGAGGCGATGATTTTCCGTAAGAATCTTGAGTATTTCATCTGAGAAAGCGCAGAAGTTGACCCCGCCAACCTGTAGGACCATCAGATAACAGCACACACAGAGCAAGAAGAAAGATAGACCAGTCGGCGCTTGCCATCTTCCCGACACCAGAAACGCACAATGTGTAAGGGCAACCCCGGAGGCCTGAGATCAAGGTCCTAGCAGGGGAGGATCCAAAGAGTGAATAGAAGTAAGCAAATACAAGTGAGGCTGACCTAGCAGGGGAGGATCCAAAGAGAAGAAACTCTAAGGGTCCGCCTGCTAGGTAGCGGAACTATATAGTTGCGCTCTTGACGCGCCAAGGTTGATCGTTGCTCCGTGCAGTATGCCTGCGCCATGTCGCAGGCCAGGTCCCAGGGGGATCGCCAGGCGGGGGGCGGCGATGCGCCTGACGGAGGCGGTGATGCGATCACCGGAGTCGGAGCCGGAGTCGGACCGGAATCGGAATCGTCTCGGAGGGGCCGAAAGGGAGGTTCCCCTGACATCACCCCCCCTTTGAATGCGGCGTCCCGACGCATAGACCGGAATGGAATCGAGTCGAAGGTTGCAGAGGCGATGTGCCGTGGTTTGCCAGGGTACTTACGATAGAACTCCGCGATTTTCTCCGGGGCGAAGACGCGGTCGAAGCGGACCCACTGGTCATGCGACGCGTCGTAGCCTTTCCATCTGACGAGTAATTCAGCCGTTTATACCTCACCCTTGCGTCCAGGATTTCCTCTACTTCCCACTCCGGGACTCCGTCCTCGAGGTCCGGAGGGGGCTGGTCGTAGCCGGGGCGTCCGTCGAAGGGGTCATCTTGGGCGAGCTCGAGCTTGACGACGGGAAGACCGGGTGGAGCTTCGAGTAGCGCGGAGGGAGGTCGAGCTTGTAGGCACCTTTGCTGATCTCCGCGACTATCTTGAATGGTCCGAGGCGGCGGTGGGAGAACTTCTCCGAGGGGCGAGTCGTCCTGATGTCAGAGGCATCCAGCCAAACACGGTCGCCAACCTTAAACTCCGGAGACGGAGTGCGTCTCCGGTCGTAGTAGCGCTTGTACTCCTCTTTGGCCTTAGTGGCGCGGCCTTGGCTTCGGCAACACCAGTGGCAATCCGGTCGCGGAACTCGTTCACGGACTCCATAGCGGAACGGACTCCGGGTTCGAAGCCCATGCGCGGGAGTCGTCCCGTGTCCGTCATGAAGGGGACTTGTTGCGTGGAGGAGTGAACGTGGTTGTTGTAGGCGAACTCCGCGGCCGGAATCAGCTCATCCCAGTCGTCCTGCTGATAGTTGGTAAAGATCCGCAGGTACTGCTCCAGCTCCTGGTTGACGCGCTCTGTTTGACCGTCTGTCTGCGGGTGGTACGCGGTGGACGTGGCAGGCTTGATGCCGATTAGACGCCAGAGTTCTCGGGTGAAGTCCGCGATGAACTGCGAGCCGCGGTCGGAGACGTACTTCTCCGGAGTCCCGTGATGGCGCCAGACATTCCGGTAGTAGAGGCGAGCCGCCCCTACTGCGTCGACCGTGGTGTGACACTCCGAGAAGTGGGCACGCTTCCCAAGGGTGTCGACGACGACCATGATCGATCGTCGTACCCAT